GGACTAGGAGGTCCTGAGAGGAGCGGCGGGCATGGGTAGGGTAGTACTTGGGTATCAGGTCAGTTATGTAACTCGGGGCAGCATTGTGAACGACTTTGTAGGTCAGAGTTAGCAGTTTGAATTTGATGCGTTGGGCAAACGGGAGCCAATGAAGGGATTGGCAGAGGGGGGAGGCAGATATGGAGCGCTTGGTGAGGTGGATGAGCCTAGCCGCTGAGTTTAGGATTGACTGGAGTGGGGATAGCGTTTGTTTGGGTAGGTCAGTGAGGAGGGAGTTGCAGTAGTAGAGGCGTGAGATGATGAGGGAGTGTACGAGTTGTTTTGGTGGTGTCTGGGGTGAGGAATGTGCATATCTTGGAGATGTTGTGGAGGTGGAGCCTGCAAGATCTGGATATCAGTTGGATGTGGGGTAGGAAGGAGAGGTGGGAGTCCAGGGTGACACCCAGGATTTTGGCGTGTGGGGTGGGAGAGATCGTGGCGTTGTTAGTAGTGATGGAGAGGATTGGAGGGGGGGCACGGGGGTGAGGGGAAGACCAGGAGCTCGGTTTTGGATAGGTTAAGTTTGAGGAAATGGAGCGACATCCAGTCTGATATGTCGTTTAGAAGGTGGACGATGCGGGCGGAGAGTGAGGGGGTGAGTTGGGGGGTGGAGAGGTAGATTTGGGTGTCGTCGGCATAGAGATGGTAATTGAAGCCGTGGGAGTGAATAAGTTTGCCAAGGGAGGGAGGTATAGATGGAGAAGAGGAGGGGCCCAAGGACAGAGCCTTGGGGGACCCCAACAGGGAGAGGGAGGGAGGGGGAGGTGGCAGTGTTGTAGGTGACGCTGAAGGAGCGTTTGGGAGAGGTAGGAGGAGAACCAGGAGAGAGAAGCATCCCTGATGCCAAGGCTTTCCCTGCTTATGGAGGGTGTCAGTGATGGTGTCAGGTCAGCAGTCTTTCCCATGATTGTGATTCCTACTGAACCAGACTGAGAGACCATTTAAAGGCTCAGGAACCCTTTGCAGGTGTTATGGCTGAATGAGCTGATTAGAGTGGGACACTTTGAGCCAAGAATATTCCACCTTTTCACAATATTCTCATTTTCTGAGATTGTAGATTTGGGGTTTTCATGAGCTGTAAGTCATATTCATCACAATGATGACAAATCACGGCTTGAACTACTATCTTGTTTTGCATGTAATGAGTCTATCGCATATATTAGTTTCACCTTTTCAGTTGCATCACTGAAATAAATGAACTTTTGCACCATATTCTAATTTTTTGAGTTTCATCTGTATATATTCCAGTCTTTTGACTCTTGCCGAAGACTTATAGAAAGAAATGGGAAACAGACAGAGAAAATAAGAGAGTGTGGTGGGAGGTGATTGTGACCTCCATACCTTTCATCTCTTTGTCCTCTTCACAGAAACTCAGTCATTTCCTTTGCATAGATCATTCAGGACTCCAGCTCAATTGTTCAGCTAGGACAGGAGGGATTTCGACTTATGACTCCAATTGTAGTGGTGATGTTATGGATTTTGATGCCGTTTTGGAGATGTCCAAAATTATTCAAAAGGTGGAACGATATGACCAGTATTGTAATGTTGGTATTCAATATTCCTCGGGTGTGCCTCTTGGTCTCAATAGAGGAGGAATTATTTACACCTCCTCCTATTACAAGTCATATAGCAATAGTGAGGCTGCTTGACCATAAAAAATATCCCGATCTTGGCTATCATCTCAAACTCCCAGCAGACAACAGTGGATTGAGCAGGTGATCGCCACATTAACATGTGAAAAACCAACCTTGTAATTCCCGCAGGAGATGTATGTGTCTGGCAGAACTGTCTGGATACTCCTTGCTGTCTCCTAGTTAGTTCTTCATAGGCTTTTAAAATCTTAGCTCTTTTAGCCCCATAGAAGGAGAACGGCCAGTTGTATCCTACTGAATGGTGACTATTATTATTATTATACAGGACTTCTATAGCGCCGACAGTTTGCTCAGCGCTTTACATTATGGAGGGAGACAGTACAGTAACAATACAGTTCAGTACAAGAGGGATTAGAGGGCCCTGCTCCTTGGAGCTTACAATCTAGGAGGGAGGGGATAGTGGTACAAGAGGTAATTAGCTGTGGGGGATGGAGTGGTTTGGGGGAGTAGGGGATTCCAGTAGTTACCAGGGGTCGGGTAGGCTTCCCTGAAGAGATGAGTTTTCAGAGTGTGCCTAAAAGTGAGCAGATTAGGAGATAGCCTGATAGCTTGGGGTAGGGAGTTCCAGAGGATGGGTGAAGCCTGTGAGAAATCCTGGAGACAAGCATGGGAGGAGGAGACAAGGGAACTAGAGAGTAGGAGGTCTTGCGAGGAGCGGAGAGTACGGTTTGGGTGGTATTTAGAGACAAGGTCGGTGATGTAGTTAGGGGCAGTGTTATGAACAGCTTTTATACGTCAGTGTTAGTGTTTTGAATTTTATCTGCTGGGCAATTGGAAGCCAGTGAAGGGATTGGCAGAGCAGAGAGGGGATGGAGGACACTGAGTGGAGGCCAGTGGAGGGATTGGCAGAGGGGTGGCTGATACAGAACGGTTAGTAAGGTGAATGAGTTGGCAGCAGCATTCATGATGAACTGGAGTGGGGATAGTCAGCGATGAGGTAGGCCAGTGAGGAGGGAGTTACAAGGCGTGATATAATAAGGGAGTGAATGAGTTGCTTAGTGGTTTTCGAGGTCAGGAACGGGCGTATCTTGGAGATGTTGCGGAGGTGAAGTCTACATGAGTTTTTCAGTGATTGGACCTGGGGCTGAAAGGACAGATTGAAGTCTAGGATGACACCTAGTACCCTGGCATGAGGGGTGGGACTGATAATCACTTAGCTCTTCTCTGAAGCTCACCTTACCACCTGCCCTCTTGACCCTGTCCCCACACAACTCCTACGATCACCCTTCTCCTCCATCCTACGCTTCCGTCCCCTACACTCCACCAAAACCGCCCTGCTCAAACTCACCAATGGCCTGCTAACCTCCAAAGCCAATGGCCACTACTCAGTGCTACTACTCCTTGACCTCTCTGCGTCTTTCGACATGGTCAACCACCCCCTCCTCAAAAAAAACTATACTCTTTTGGCCTCAGAGACTCTGCTCTCTCCTGGCTCTCTTCCTATCTATCACAACGCTCCTTCAGTTTTTCCTATAATGCTGCCACCTCCCCCTCTCTGTTAGGGGGGTCCCCCAAGGTTCTGTCCTCGGGCCCCTTCTCTTCTACATCTACACCCCCTCCCTTGGTCAACTAATACACTTCCACGGCTTCAACTACCATCTCTATGACGATGACACTCAAAATCTATCTCTCTACCCCCCACCTCACCCCCTCAGTGTCCGCCCGAATCTCTAGCCTTCTGAACGACCTATCAGACTGGATGTCACTCCAATTCCTCAAATTAAACCTTGCCAAAACTGAGCTCCTAGTTTTCCCCCTGCCCGTGCCCCCTCTGACCTCTTCATCACGACCAACAACATCACCATCAGTCCCACCCCGCAAGCCGGAGTATTAGGTGTCATTCTAGACTCCAATCTGTCTTTCCAGCCCCAGGTCCAATCGCTGACAAATTCATACAGACTCCACCTCTGTAACATCTCCAAAATATGCACGTTCCTAACTCCAGAAACTACAAAGCAACTCATTCACTCCCTTATTATATCACGACTTGACTACTGTAACTCCCTCCTCACCGGCCGACCTCATCACAGACCATCCCCACTTCAGTCTATCCTGAATTCTGCAGCCAGACTCATCCACTGTGTACTGTCTCCCATTATATTGTACAGCGCTGAGCAAACTGTTGGCGCTATATAAATACTGTATAATAATAATAATAATAATAGTGTTGTTGATCTTGATGGAGAAGTCGGGGAGGGCACGGGCTGGGGGGAATACTAGAAGCTCAGCTTTGGAAAGGTTGAGTTTGAGGAAGTGGAGTGACATCCAGGTCGATATGTCACTTAGTAGGGTGGTGATGCGATTGGAGACTGAGGGGGTGAGGTGGGGGGGTAGAGAGATAGATTTGTGTGTCATCGGCATAGAGATGGTAGTTGAAGCCGTGGGAGTTAATCATATGGCCAAGGGAGGAGGTGTAGATGGAGAAGAGGAGGGGTCCGAGGACAGAGCCTTGAGGAACACCGACAGAGAGAAGGTGTGAAGGGGAGGTGGTAGCATTATAGGTAACACTGAAGGAGCGCTGTGATAGATAGAAGGAGAGCCAGGAGAGAGCGGAGTGTCTGAGGCCCAACTACATTGGAGACCCGTACTTGGGGTATGATCCTGTAGACACGGGCCTCATTGTTTGGTGTCAGATATCTAGTATGTACTGGGGGGGGTTACTTGCCGTGTACAGCTGAATTGTTCTAGGCTGTTTCTTCTTTTTCTCTGTTCATTTGTTTATAAAAGGTAAAAGTGACACCATAGACAAAGCAAGTTATTGTTCTGTATGATCTGTAACAGTGCCACAACTGCCTATACGTGAGAATGTATGACTCCATTGTCTGGGCTGAATGGTGGAAATACTGTGCGCACTTAGAAACTTTCTTAATAAAATCTATTTGATTAAAAAAAATACTGTAGATAATGCTGTACATATTCTTTCTATTCTATTCTAAGATATATTTAGTAATGAATATTAAAAAATAGAAAGCAACTTTATGTAGCCCTTTATATAGAATTATTTTTTCTTTCTCTACAGGTGGATTGATGAACCAAGGTTTTAGGACATTTTGGTCTTCATGAATACAGCTCACATGGAAAACAAGACATATGGATGTCTTAATTGACTGAAAGTCTTTACTGCAGTTCACTGGAGGATTCACACGGGATACAAGTCATATCTGTGTTTCTAAAAGTCATGGTTTGGATCCTCTTCCACATTGATCCAGCAGGAGAAAAGTAATTTCAGTGTTCTGGAAGTGACAATGGCTTTACAATAAAGTCCCAAACCACGTATATATAAGAGGAGTCATTTCAAACTACTTGTTTGGAGATATTACAATGGAGAGAAAATATATCACACACCAGAAGGCTTGCAAGGGAGAGAAGCCATATTTTTGCTCTGAGTGTGGCAAAACTTTTATAAGCAAGAGATGCCTTATGATACACCAAAGATTTCACACCGGAGAGAAGCCATATCAGTGTTCTGAATGTGATAAAGCTTTTACAGAGAAGTCAGATCTTATCACACACCCAGATGATTCACACTGGAGAGAAGTCATATCAGTGTTCTGAATGTGATAAAGCTTTTACACTGCAGTCACAGCATCACATCTTATCAGACACCAGATTAATTCACACTGGAGAGAAGTCATATCAATGTTCTGAATGTGATAAAGCTTTTACTCAGAAGTCAAATCTTCTCGAACACCAGAGGATTCACACTGGAGTAAAGCCATATCAGTGTCCTGAATGTGATAAAGCTTTTATTAAGAAATCAAATTTTCTCAAACACCAGAGGATTCACACTGGAGAGAAGCCTTATCAGTGTTCTGAATGTGATAAAGCTTTTACAGGGAAGTCACATCTTATCACACACCAGAGGATTCACACTAGAGAGAAGCCATTTTAATGCTCTCAATGTGACAAAACTTTTACAGTTAATGCCGGTCTAATCTATCACCGGAGGATTCACAAATTTCTGCATTGATTAAATTCTGGAAGAAAAGAGATATTAAAGAAGTTTCAGGTGTCACAAGCTAGTTTCACATCCCAATGTCATCCCACAAGCTAGAGAAGAAGGGAAAAGATAAAATGTTACATAAAAAAGAAAAAAAAAAAAAAAACAAACTAAAATCTGCGCAAACTGGAATGTAATGATCTGATGAACTGAGTTTAGTGCTTATGTCCATCAATACACAACTAGAAGGGATTTCAATATTTTATCTTTTGACAATTTTTTTAAGATAAGCATTAGAGATGAGCGAATCGAAGTAGGCGAAGTGGAATTCGTTTCGAATATTAAGAAAATTTCGAAATTTTTTCCTAAAATGGCGGCGACATGTGCGGCGACAGAGCGGGGATGTCTGGGAAGGGGCTCAGACAAGGCGCGCTGACCCATAATGCATTCATTCATGACATGTGATCGCATTAGCCAATCAGCAGCCAGCCAGCCAGCACAGTGTAATGGTCGAGCTATAAATGGCGGCCATTTTAGAATTCTCCATTTGCCTCCAGTCATTCAACAGAGGCAGACCTGGCTGTATGCAGGGAGAGAGTTAGGTACAGAGAAGAAACGTTACTTAGGGACACAGAAACGTTAGTTAGGGCCACAGAATCGTTACTTAGGGCCACAGAAACGTTACTTAGGGCCACAGAATCGTTAGTTAGGGCCACAGAAACGTTACTTAGGGACACAGAATTGTTACTCAGGGACAGACAGAATTGTTACTGAGGGATACAGAATTGTTACTGAGGGCCACAGAATAGTTACTTAGGGCCACAGAAACGTTACTTAGGGCCACAGAATTGTTACTTAGGGGACAGACACAGAATTGTTACTGAGGGACACAGATTTGTTACTGAGGGCCACAGAAACGTTACTTAGGGCCACAGAAAACTTACTTAGGGCCACAGAATCGTTACTTAGGGCCACAGAATGTTACTTAGGGACAGACACAGAATTGTTACTGAGGGACACAGATTTGTTACTGAGGGCCACAGAATCGTTACTTAGGGCCACAGAAACGTTACTTAGGGCCACAGAATTGTTACTTAGGGACAGACACAGAATTGTTATTGAGGGACACAGAATTGTTAGTGAGGGCCACAGAACCGTTACTTAGGGCCACAGAAACATTACTTAGGGCCACAGAATTGTTACTTAGGGACAGACACAGAATTGTTACTGAGGGACACAGATTTGTTACTGAGGGCCACAGAAACGTTACTTAGGGCCACAGAAACGTTACTTAGGGCGACAGAATCGTTACTTAGGGCCACAGAATTGTTACTTAGGGACAGACACAGAATTGTTATTGAGGGACACAGAATTGTTACTGAGGGCCACAAAACCGTTACTTAGGGCCACAGAAACGTTACTTAGGGCCACAGAATTGTTACTTAGGGACAGACACAGAATTGTTACTGAGGGACACAGATTTGTTACTGAGGGCCACAGAAACGTTACTTAGGGCCACAGAAACGTTACTTAGGGCCACAGAATCGTTTACTTAGGGCCACAGAATTGTTACTTAGGGACAGACACAGAATTGTTATTGAGGGACACAGAATTGTTACTGAGGGCCACAAAACCGTTACTTAGGGCCACAGAAACGTTACTTAGGGCCACAGAATTGTTACCTAGGGACAGACACAGAATTGTTACTGAGGGACACAGATTTGTTACTGAGGGCCACAGAAACGTTACTTAGGGCCACAGAAACGTTACTTAGGGCCACAGAATCGTTACTTTAGGGCCACAGAAACGTTACTTAGGGCCACAGAAACGTTACTTAGGGCCACAGAATCATTACTTAGGGCCACAGAAACGTTACTTAGGGCCACAGAAACGATACTTAGGGACACAGAATTGTTACTCAGGGACAGACACAGAATTCTTACTCAGGGACAGACACAGAATTGTTACTCAGGGACACAGAATTGTTACTGAGGGACACAGAATTGTTACTGAGGGACACAGAATTGATACTGAGGGACACAGAATTGTTACTGAGGGACACAGAATTGTTACTGAGGGCCACAGAACTGTTACTTAGGGCCACAGAAACGTTACTCAGGGACACAGAATTGTTAATCAGGGACAAACACAGAATTCTTACTCAGGGACAGACACAGAATTGTTACTCAGGGACAGAGAATTGTTACTGAGGGACACAGAATTGTTACTGAGGGACACAGAATTGTTACTGAGGGATACAGAATTGTTACTGAGGGACACAGAACCGTTACTTAGGGCCACAGAAACGTTACTTAGGGCCACAGAAACGTTATTTAGGGCCACAGAAATGTTACTTAGGGCCACAGAATCGTTACCTAGGGCCACAGAAACGTTACTTAGGGCCACAGAAACGTTACTTAGGGACACAGAATTGTTACTCAGGGACACAGAATTGTTACTCAGGGACAGACACAGAATTGTTACTGAGGGACACAGAATTGTTACTGAGGGACACAGAATTGTTACTGAGGGCCACAGAACTGTTACTTAGGGCCACAGAAACGTTACTCAGGGACACAGAATTGTTACTCAGGGACAAACACAGAATTGTTACTGAGGGACACAGAATTGTTACTGAGGGACACAGAATTGTTACTGAGGGCCACAGGACTGTTACTTAGGGCCACAGAAACGTTACTCAGGGACACAGAATTGTTAATCAGGGACAGACACAGAATTCTTACTCAGGGACAGACACAGAATTGTTACTCAGGGACACAGAATTGTTACTGAGGGACACAGAATTGTTACTGAGGGACACAGAATTGTTACTGAGGGACACAGAATTGTTACTGAGGGACACAGAATTGTTACTCAGGGACACAGAATTGTTACTCAGGGACAGACACAGAATTGTTACTGAGGGACACAGAATTGTTACTGAGGGACACAGAATTGTTACTGAGGGCCACAGAACTGTTACTTAGGGCCACAGAAACGTTACTCAGGGACACAGAATTGTTACTCAGGGACAGACACAGAATTGTTACTCAGGGACACAGAATCGTTGAATTAAAGAGTATGTCAGACAGCATGCAGAGGAGTGGCAGAGGAGGCAATGTTTTAGGAGCGAGCAGACGTGGCAGCAGAGGAAGGGGTCGAGGCAGCACTATTCGCAGCCAGAGGCCAGTGCTCCCGGTGTCATCCAGTACAGTGAGGAAGAGCTAACAGAGGGCGGTCAGGAACGGGGGGAGACATCCGCCTCTTCAGCAGCCAGGCAAAGAAGTAGTGGCGAGGAGAGTGGCTCGGTAGCCGGTCTAGAGACAGGTCTGTCTCCTGACCCACACGCAGCCGAGGGGGCTAGTAGTGAGGCGGAGACCCTAATTGATGATGATGAGGCTGATCGCACTTGGCAGCCTCGTCGTTCATCACAGGCTATTGCTTCCGCATCATCATGAGAAGAGGGTGGCAGCTTGGCAGCGAGCAAAACAGTCGATGGGTTGTCTCCTCGCCACACTCTGCCATGTGCCACTTTCAGGTCTCCTCACACACTGCTGGTGTGTTCCATATTTTTTGTCATAGGGTGCTGGCAGATTACGGGCCTCCCATAGCTGCTGCCATGGGCCCCTAATCTGCCATGGGCCCCTATACCGCCTCCTCAGATTACGGGGCCTCCCATGCTGCTGCTGCCATGGGGCCCTCTATTCCCAGCCGATGTCCAGAGTCTCTCATGGGTCCCTGTACGGCCTCCCATTGCTGCTGTCTCCATCGCCACACTCTGCCATGTGCCACTTTCAGGTCTCCTCACACACTGCTGGTGTGTTAAATTTTTTGACATAGGGTGCTGGCAGATTACGGGCCTCCCATAGCTGCTGCCAGGCCCCCCTAATCTGCCATGGGGCCCCTATACCGCCTCCTCATGCTGCTGCCAGGTCCAGAGTCTCTCATGGGTCCCTGTACGGCCTCCCATTGCTGCTGTCTCCATCGCCACACTCTGCCATGTGCCACTTTCAGGTCTCCTCACACTGCTGGTGTGTTACATTTTTTGTCATAGGGTGCTGGCAGATTACGGGCCTCCCATAGCTGCTGCCAGGCCCCTAATCTGCCATGGGCCCCTATACCGCCTCCTCATGCTGCTGCCAGGTCCAGAGTTCTCATGGGTCCCTGTACCGGCCCACATTGCTGCTGTCTCCATCGCCACACTCTGCCATGTGCCACTTTCAGGTCTCCTCACACACTGCTGGTGTGTTCCATTTTTTGTCATAGGGTGCTGGCAGATTACGGGCCTCCCATAGCTGCTGCCAGGCCCCTAATCTGCCATGGGCCCCTATACCGCCTCCTCATGCTGCTGCCAGGTCCAGAGTCTCTCATGGGTCCCTGTACGGCCTCCCATTGCTGCTGTCTCCATCGCCACACTCTGCATGTGCCACTTTCAGGTCTCCTCCACTGCTGGTGTGTTAACATTTTTTGTCATAGGGTGCTGGCAGATACGGTACCGGGCCTCCCATAGCTGCTGCCAGGCCCTAATCTGCCATGGGTCCCTGTACGGCCTCCTCATGCTGCTGCTGCCATCGCCACACTCTGCTCATGTGCATGTGCCACTTTCAGGTCTCCTCACACACTGCTGGTGTGTTCCATTTTTGTGTCATAGGGTGCTGGCAGATTACGGGCCTCCCATAGCTGCTGCCAGGCCCCTAATCTGCCATGGGCCCCTATATACCGCCTCCTCATGCTGCTGCCAGGTCCAGAGTCTCTCATGGGTCCCTGTACGGCCTCCATTGCTGCTGTCTCCATCGCCACACTCTGCCATGTGCCACTTTCATGTCTCCTCACACTGCTGGTGTGTTCCATTTTTTTGTCATAGGGTGCTGGCAGTATTATGGGCCTCCATCTGCCATGGGCCCCTATACCGCCTCCTCAGTTGCTGCTGCGAAGTCCAGAGTGTCTCTCAT